ACACCGTGCTCGTCCCAGTCCCTTTATCGCTGCCTCCTGCCTAATGGGAAGTGCTGAGACCTGGTCTCTAGGCGTTACTGTCGCACCAGTGTAGAGGCAGAGGGGTCATGGCCAAGATACTGCACACAGCAGAAAGACAAAGCTACAAGCTGTGGGGAAGGCAGTCAGGGCTGCGTAACATAAGGTTGCAGAGGAGGCAAAGGACACGTGGGAATGCAGGGCCTGGGTGGACCGAAGGATTTAGGGAGGCAGGGGGTGGGGAACCACAAGGTAATTGTGGGGGTGGGGAACCACAAGGTAATTGTGGGGCTGGAGAATACATGAACCATGAGAAAGGGAAGGGAAAGGTATCACAGAAAGAATTAGACACGTAGGTGTGACCAGGCCTGGGAGGGAACATCATCAGGAGAACTGGATGAAAGTAACAGCTAGGCCTGATGAGGGATCAGCAGGCACTCAGTCAGGAAGTCTAAGTTTAGAGGGTGTCATTTTTTTCCATCACCGCTTCCCATAACAGGAAAGGATGGGTTTGTTATGGAAGATGGTAGAGGAAAAGGGAGCGTATTTCCATAGCTTCCTCTTGGTGAGGGTGTCTTGTTGGTCTCCTGTCCCATCATACTACTAGGCTATGGCACCTCTTGCCCAGCTAAGGAGCTCAAACATGAGAGGTAAGCGAGAAGTGGCTTTTCAGGGTCTCTTGCTTATGGTGTTGGTTCCTGTGAGTTTGCAGGGCCAGCCAGGACCTCCTCAAAGGCTGGAAGAGAGCAGAAGAGCCTAGAAAGAAAAAAAAAAATCAAAACAAAATACTCATGTGAGACTCCTACACAGAAGGCAGAAATCCCCTCTGTGCTTCTCCCTGGCCCCTAGCACTCCATCTCTGTCACAGAGCTCAGCACTTTAGCTGTTAAAGCTTTTTGTGGCGCAGTGGTGGGAGGCTGGTGGGTGGGAAAGCAAGTAGCAAAGAGGAGAAAACCATACTGGGAGGCAAGAGATGAACCAGGATGTAAAGGGAGAGGGGTGGAAAGAGAAAATACTTGAAACCTTCCACAAAAGCCTCTCTCTGCCCAGCACCCTTACATCTCACTTAAAAGGCAAGTGAGGAGAGAGGGGGCGGCATGGCAGGAGGGACCTTTTACTCCCCTGACGGCATTTGCTCTTTGAAATAGAGCGTGGGTTAGAAAACCAGGCAGTGACACCTTGTGGGGCTTCCTAGGGCAGCCATTACCCATGCCACAGTAGTCAATGCTGGCTTGAACATTGGGCTAGTGGCTTGATGTGGCTTTTTTAGAAGTCACAGGTAGTTTTGCATGCATAAAGACAGAAGACAAGCAACTGCCACTGTTTTTTGTATTATATGGCTGTTGGTCAGAAGCTTCAATCAAGTCCAGGACCTCATTCACCTGGAAACCCTACACATTGTAAGAAGTAGTACGTGGCCCTGAAGACCTTATGCTCTAAACTGTAAGGGAGATGAGCAGCTGGGCTTAGAGAGACTGTGATCCATGAGATCACACAGTATGCCGGTGAAGAGCCAGGAAATAATCCTCAGTGCTTCTGAGCCACAGTGCTTCACTGTCAGAGCAGAGTCCAGGCCCTTCCTTGACATCCGATGAAGCAGGGATACCCCACCTTTTTGGCCAGGGCAGACTACCCAGTTTCTTATTAAATTCTTGATGATTAGATGCTGAAGTCCCCCCTTCATGCTTTCCACATGACCCAGTACATGCCCACTCTGTGACAAGGGGTTTTCATGGCAGATGTACTTGTCATCACATAAGAGAGAAGACCCAAAGACCTCCCTGTTGGGGAAGAAACCAGTAGGGAATGGCTGCAGGTCATCAGAATAATTAATCCAGGGCACCTCCTTCCAGTGTCCAAAAGTCTCAGAGAGAAGACGACAGCAGGGAAAGCTCTGCAAGTCAAGTAGAACTGTTCTTGCAGCCCAGAACTCTCATGTGTTGGGTGTTTGGGTTTTTTTGGTTTGTCTCTTTTTTCTAGGGTTGCTAAGTGTATTTTGCTTACTTGTCTCATCCTAGGGAGAGCAAGAAATTTGGGGTTCACCATAAAAGCCGGATTAGACTCAAGGCATGTGAGCATAAGTTGTCTGGGTATTTGTTTCACAAGGTCTTTACTATTTCTGGCATCCTTGAGCAAGTTAATCTGGCTTCAGTCCAAAAAAAATGAGTCAGAGACTCCAGGCCAAACTGTGGTAGACACAGAATCGTGCTCAGGACACACTGGGTACCAACAAGAATGATGAAGGCAGAAATGGAAAGCAGTAAGAAATGCTGGAGCTCTTGGGAAGGAAAGAATCCCTGACCCATCTGTCTGAGCAAGAGATTTCCATACAGCACGCAGGGAGAGAATCAGTTGCAGGCTAAATCGATCATGCTGACCTTCAAACTGTCCCCTGGCAGTTCCAAAAGAGGTGCCCCAGCTGAAGCTAATCTAATCGCTTTAAAAAAAAACACAGAAATGGAATCTGTCACATGGAGAATTACAGTCTGAAACAACTGCACTAACAAAGAAAGGGGAGGTGGGGTTCAGTTGCTTAAACCTATATAGCCATGCTATTTTAAACGCCCTGTGGGAGCTGAGATCTGCACGGGGCTGGCAGATGTGACACAGGACCTACAGGATGCTTAAAGCAGCAGCAAAAGGATAATCGGGAGACCCTGGGGCATAACAGAGTTTATGCAGCAAGGTCCCAGAAGACTTTGTTTCTAAAATGGAGTGCACCCTGGGAGTGCTGTGTCTGTCTCTCCAGTTTGTAGTGCTGGCCTGGCTTGGGTAACAGACTTAGGCGTAAGTCTGGCCTTTGCTGTGCAACAGTCGGTGTCCTACTTCTCCTCTGTCTACAGAGTTTAGCTGGTGCCTGGAGCAGAGCAGCTTTCTGGCCTAAGAGAAGCTCTACATGCCCAAAATGGGGGAGGCCAGTCCTTTACATTTTATGCTGAGGATGCTACTTTTATCATGGGCCATTATCTGGAAGAAAAAAAAAAAATCTACTCATAACCCCTTAGGTTGCTTATGTGTCTTGAAAGATGCAGTCCTCCAAACTCTTGAATGTTTCAGGGTTGAGGCTTATGTACACACCGACCTGGATGTGAAAGGTTATGAGCAAGCTGCTCCTGCTGCATTTTGCTCCTCTCTGGTGGTAAGCTAACCAAGCCTGCTGTATTGTATTTGTGTCTTGACAGAGGGAGGTGGCCTACCAAAAGTGGTGACAGTGAGCACGGCTGTGGCTGTATCTGTGGATGGGAAGATGGGTATTGCTGCAGGTAGGACATTCTGGTTTCTCTTTTTATCTTGAATGAAATGGTTGCATCTTGTATTGAGAGTGGGAGCTTAGAGCTGATAGCTTGTCATTCAAGGGAAATGACGGGAGCCACAATAGCTTGTGATGTTGAAAACTAGGCTAGGCAGAATATTAGGACAGGTACTAAATAGCTGATAGGCTTTTGAAAGGGAAACTGGCTGTTTGAATGGGAGCTTCCCATCTTCAATGCTGGTGAATTTGTGGATTGAGACTATTTCTCTGGAGCGTGAGTAGGTTGAGAAGCCCATGCAGGTTTTAAACTGTTTGCAGGAGACACTTCTGGTTTTGGAAGAACAGAACATTCATGCATCTCCATCATTATCTCAGCTGAAAAATAACTTTTGCTGGTGGGATAGGCTTGTTGCTGGATTTCCAAATCAGACATATAGATTGCCAAACTTATCTTTGTATCTGAGCTTTAAACCCCTTTTGGCAGACCTTCACTAGATTCTGCATCTACTTTTGGAAAATTCATAAAGCACTTTATTTCCAACAGAACCCCAAAGCTTTTGAAGCTTTACCATTTTCTGCAGCAATTGCTTCAGCCTTTATGGAAGTACAGTAAACTCGGAAGTGAAACAGAGCAGCCATTTAACGAAACAAAGCAACTTTAATCAATAATGCTGGCATCATATCCAGCTTAAATTCTCTGTGTAGGGGTATTGGGATAAGAGAAGATGTAGCTCAGTGGAATTTTTTTTAGACCTGGAAGCATTGACTAAGGGAAAAGATTGGTAGAACAGGTAATGGAGTAATTATCACCAGAAACATGCCAAGTTGCAAAGCTGCTTGTGAAAGAATCATTAGTGTTAATGGAGTCCTGTATGGTGAAAGGAATGACTGAGTAGAATAGATACCAAACAATGACTTTGTTACAGGAGTATCCAGTAGAAAGAAGGCTATATAGCAGTTACCTTCAGATCAGAGAGTCAGCCATTGCTTTTGCCTAGGCTGGGTAGGATACCATGATGGTCTTCAGTACTACTAGTCAGTAAAACTATGGCAGTTTAACTTCATCTGATGAAGCGTTCCTTAATTTCCAAGCTTTTAGTAAGTCCCAGTTGAGCACGGTACTCTTTAATTATCTTCTGGGCATTGAGAAAGTACTTACAACCTGAAGGGGGGGTGTTATGAAATAGCACTTTTCACTAATATACCACCATTTCAAGCCCAAAGCCAGAAAATTATTATGAAGTCTGTCCAGAGACCACTGTGAAATAGAGATGGTTTCAGTAAAGTTCATGTTAAGTAAGTGCTTGGGTCATAGAAACTGCTCTCGAAACTGATACTAGCTGGCATTGTTATGAATATACCCAGCAGAGAATGAAATAGCATCGAAAGTGTACCCATGGTCTCTGTGCAGCACTGGAGCATTTTTCTAAGCATGAATTTGGGAGGAGGAAAAACTTTTTTTTTAGAAAGATTGTTTTCATGTTTCTTTTCCTTCCCTTTCCCATTCTGTGAGTTAGAGCAGAGGCACACAAGCAGTTCATCTGGCACTCAGCATAAATACAAGAAAGGAAAGTTCTGGGTGGAAGAGCTGGAGCAAGAAAAAGTGGCAGGAAGATCTGCCCCTGACAGAGCCATTTCTCTGCTGTCAGCAGCGCTTTTCACAGCCCCTGTGGAGATTTCCACCCCCTCAGTTATGCTGAATGCTGAATCGACTGTCAGTGTGGACACGCTGTGAAGGGGCAGGATCCTCTGCAGAGGGAAGAGGAGGGTGGAGAAAGCAGCAGAGGATAGGGAAAGAAATCATGTTAAAACAATAACAATAAGGTAAAAATTCTGTCATTTGTGGAAATGATACAGAACAAACCAGTTTCCTCACTGGTTCAACCACAGAAGTTGAGACACAGAAATGAATACTCAATTGCTTTTGTTCCTTAAAGGTACCACAGTCCCTGTCACTAGCCTGCACGTTAGGTGACCTGACCAAAAGCATCTTCTGCTTACCTCCACACATGGTACATACTGCTGGGTGTTCTTCATTCCCCATTTCTTATGCGTTGATGAAAACTACCCGTATTTCATCCAAAGTATGGGCTGCATGACAGCACTGAGGGAAAGAATTTCTCCCAAAGAGTCCAAAGTCCTTCAGGCCCTCAGCTGTAGCCCCCATTGACTTCAATGGGAGTGCAAGGGTTTGCCAAGGTATGTCCCATCTGCTGGCTTGGGCATAAGTTTACACTATCTTTTGGGGGATTTCAGGGAGCAAAAAGGTACTATGTCTGTATTACCATTTGCTTTTTTTCTAGTAGTGACTAGGTTCATCATCTAAATCTTTCATACCAGTAGTAATTTTAAAAAAAAAGGGGGGGGGCATAATTGTGGTCACACTACCTGTTGCAATACTATTTGATCTTGAGGATAGCAGCTTTGAGAGTAAGGATGTAGGTCTCTCTTCATCTCCCCCCACACTAATTTAATCATCCTGAGTGGCTAGGACCTGATTCTAGGGGACTTCACTCCACAGCAGAGGCTGCAGCACAAATGATGCTGGGTAGTGCTGCAATACCATCCTGGGTACTGGAGAGAGGTGAAGGAAGGGGAGTGAGCGGAGACACAGCAAGAGGCAATCCAAGCAGAATGGGATGCAGACTGTTGTTATTATTGTTGTTATTCCGATGGCATCAGCCCTCAGTGGGATTGATACTGTGTTCGTTTAGAGTTAGGATACTACCAGATGTTTAGTACCCAGCACTGGTTCCCAGAAAGCCAAATATCTGGGTAGGCTTGTAGTTTCTGCATAAATGCAGTCACAGTTCTGTAAAAGGGGAACAACAGAGACTTTTTAAGTGCCCCTATAAAAGTGCATGTGGTATGAACTGGCCTGTCATTCTGCCACTGATCGTTACTGTCACTTGTTTGACTTGACGGTGCTTGGGGGGGATTTGTAAGCACTCTGAAATGTTCGCTATGCATGCAGTGAAAAATTAAGCTCTAGGATTTACAGCCATGCCTGTGGGAAGGGAGCACCCCGAGTGCGCCCATGGAGAGGACGCCAATGACAGGGAGCATTGGGACCCTTTTCTTCTGGCAGCTGAATGGCAGTCCCCAGCCAAGGCAGAGAAAGGCGAACTGGTAAAATCAAATGTCCAGGAAGATGACACAGGTCTGGATGCTGTCAGGGCGTGAGGGAGCAGTCAGCTGGGATTAGAGAGCAGCCAGGCTGGAGGGCTGAGGGCAGGGATGAAGGGGAGTACAATGGCCTCCTTCCTCCCATTTCAGTCTGGCTTAGCTCAGTAGGGAGTCCCAGAATGGGTTTGGGGGCAATCCGAGATGCTCCTCTCACTGTTAGATATGCTGCGCCACACAAGGACAGGTGGGAAGTTAGCCAAATTCAAGAGGGAAAAGCGGTGTCCTCTGCCCTGCCCTACCCACTCCCCTTCTCACCCATCCCTCTCCTTCCCCTGTGGGCCAAGCCCCTGTACCTGGGGTGCAAGGGGTTCAAGGTCCCCGCAGGTCCCTCAGAGGACATGGTGGAGCCAAGGCAAAGTCCACTTGTGCAAGCTGAGTTGGTGTGGTCTCTTTGGTGGGAAGCCACACAGGCAGACCTACCCCTGGCTTGGCTATACCTGTTTCTTTGAATTAATAATATCTACCTGCTATATTGTGCTTTGGCAGTTCAAAGCACTATGCAAACATTAAGTAATGCCTGGATGATTAATTATAATTAATTAGAAGGCAGCTATTCTCCTGGGATGTCAGTCCAGTACCTTTCACGCACACTAACTTTGTTGGAAATGAAAAATAAGGAATTGTGATGGCACCCTCCCCAAGCCAAGTCCTGCCCCAGATAGCACTGTCATCTGCTCCCTCCCGTGAGTCAGTAGCCTGGGGCTTTCTGGTCCTCAGGGGGTGCACAGCAGAAATCACATGTAGTTGCTGACAGAAGCTTTTAGTGATTTAAAGCCCCAGTGAAACTGCTGGAATCTGTGCAGGAGTTTAGCTGTCACTTCAGGCTGTGTATGACGTCTCTTTCATTGCCTGACCTTCTCGCTGTTCAAGTTACGTGGTTGTCAGTTGGCTGCCAGTCCCAATAGGGGCAGGTAGGGGTTTCTTCCCATTATGTTCCTTGCCATGGTTGTTGTGTCTCGGGGATGGGAGACAGCTGATACCACCAAAGCATGAGGCATGCACAGGCTCCATGGTACCCAATAAAACAAATCCAAATGGGCACTTGGGGGATGCAGGTTTATTTTATATGATACCTCTCTTCTCTGTTTATATTCAGAGTTACTGTTAGTTCTTATCTGCAGTGATTGGACCACAGTGAAATCGTTATCCCATGATGACAACAGTATATACAGATGTATTTGGGGAGAGTCCTAGGCAAGCTTAGAGAAGGGTGAGAGAAGAGAAATAGTGTCTCTATTTTACAGAGAGGGTTTTGGGACACTGAGTTATTAAGGCCAGTATTTTCAGAAGAGCTCTGTACTCACAGCAGGAGCAGATTTTCAAAAAAGCTTGGATTTTTTTTCAAAAGTATTTGAAATCAATCAGTCTGAAAAATAGATAACAGGAAGTAATTTTGCCATTATACCGCTGGTTAAAATACAGCCTCTATCAGTCTGATGGAAGCTCTCTGTTTGAAAAGCGATTACAGGCCAGCTCGATGTCTCTCCATCCTCTTCCTTGGTCCCCAATTTTGGCTATCTGCTGTCTGTTACCAGTGAGCAAAGAGAGGACATGCAGGTGGTTTTCTCAGCAGTTTTGTTGCTGTGGCATCTTTTCATACTAATCTACACACAATTCTGTATTCCTACAGTTTTGTTGCTTGGGTGGATAAGACATTTTAACCTCCTCTCTAAAAAGTGACAGTTGTACCTGTAGAAGCTGCTAAAATGCATGGAAATAAGCTACAATAGCATAAGCACCTTTTACATGGGAGCAACTGCATTCAAGCTGGAGAATTAAAATGATTTCACTAGACTGGCTCGGGAACCAGTATAACATTACCCA